ACTGGATTAAAGATTTAAACTTAAGACATGAAACTATAAAATTACTAGAAGAAAGTGTAGGGAAAACACTTGAAGAAATAGGCCTGGGCGAAAATTTTATGAGGAGGACCCCTCAGGCTATCGAAGCAACATCAAAAATGCACTACTGGTACTTGGTCAAACTAAAAAACTTCTGCACAGCCAAGAACACAGTAAGTAAAGCAAACAGACAGCCCTCAGAATGGGAGAAGATATTTGCAGGTTATGTCTCTGACAAAGGTTTAATAAGCAGAATCCACAGAGAACTCAAGCGTATTAGCAAGAAAAGGACAAGTGATCCCATTCCAGGGTGGACATGGCACTTGAAGAGAAACTTCTATGAAGAAGACAGGTGCATGACCTACATACATATGAAAAAATGCTCATTATCATTAATCATCAGAGAAATGCAAATCAAAACTACTTTGAGATACCAGTAAGATTAGCCCACATCACAAAATCCCAAAACCAGAGATGCTGGCATACATGTGGAGAAAGGGGAACACTTCTACACTGCTGGTGGGAATGTAAACTAATATGTTCCTTTTGGAAAGATGTTTGGAGAACACTTAGAGAACTAAAAATAGACCTGCAATTTGGTCCTGCAATCCCTCTACTGGGTATATATCCAGAATACCAAAAATCACATTACAACAAAGGTATTTGTACCAGAATGTTTATTTCAGCCCAATTCATAATTGCTAAATCATGGAAGAAGCCCAAGTGCCCATCGATCCACAAATGGATCAATAAATTGTGGTATATGTATAACATGGAATTTTACGCAGCCTTAAAAAAAGATGGAGACTTTACCTCCTCCTGTTTACATGGATGGAGCTGGAACATATTCTTCTTAGCAATGTATCTCAAGAATAGAAGAAAAAGTATCCAATGTATTCAGCCCTATTATGAAACTAATTTATAACTTTCATACGAAAGCTGTAGCCCAACTATATATAGCCCAAGAATATGGGGACAGAGGAGAGGGAGGAGAGGGGAGGGGGGAGGATGGGTTGTGGGAGGGTGATTGGTGGGACTACACCTATGGTCCATCTTACAAAGGTACATGTGAATCTTTCTAAATGCAAAATATAAATGTCTTAAGACAATAACTAAGAAAATGCCATGAAGGTTATATTAACCAGTTTGTTGACAATATTTCAAATTGTATATAAAACCAGCACACTGTGCCCTATGACTACATTAATGTACGCAGTTATTATTTAATTAAAAAAGGATAAGGGCAACCACATAAGGTCTAAGGCCATATCAGTCCTCAAGAAGGAAATAAAATTGGCTTAGATGGTTTGTTTATTAAATTTGCAGAATAATATCCAATGTGGCTGAATAAGAGATTGTGATCAGTAAGGAGACCATAGGTTGTTAGTTATTTCCAAAGTAATGTTCATTCTATCTTTCATGCCTCAGGACCCTTTGAACCACTTCCTTCTCTTTCTCCTTTTTAAGTCCCAACCTCTCTCAGCCTCTCTATCCTTTACCCAGATACATGTCCCCTTATTCCTGCTCTCCCATTAGATCTAGTCCTCTGTATTTCTCCATATTGTCTTTCTCTTAAGATTTCACTGTCTTACATTTAATATTGCTATTCAGTTCAAAACATTTTCTAAATTCTCTTCTGATATTTTCTTTGACTCATGGAATATTTAGAAGCATATTATTTCATTTCCAAGTATTTGGCACCTTTCTAGCTGTCTTTCTTTTATTGATTTCTTGTTTGATTTTATTGCAGTTAGAGTGAACACTGTATAATTTTAGTCCTTTTAAATTTGTTAAAGTTTGTTTTATGGCTCAGCAGATGGTCTGTCTTGGTGAATGTTCCATGTGCACTTGAAGAGAATATGTATTTGGTTGTTGTTGGGTATAATGGTCTGAAACATACCCATTAGGTGATGTTAGTTTATGTTGTTTATATCTTCTGTGTCCTCACTGATTTTTTTGTCTAGTTGTTCTATTAATTACTGAGGTAGGGATGTTAAAATTTTCAGCTGTGATTGATATTTGTCTAATCCTCCTTGCAGTTCTGATATTTTTTGCTTCATGTATTTTGAAACTCTGCTGTTAGGTACACACACATGTAAGATTACTGATGAATGACCTATTTTATCATTTTGAAATGCACCCTCTTTATTTCTGGGTAATACTCTTTGTCTTAAAGCCTACTTTATCTAATATTAATATAATTATTTTGACCTTTTTTTAGTTTTTGTTTTTTTACAACATTTTAATGGGAAAATTTCAAATATAGAGCAAATTGGAATGAATTTTACATTGAACATCCATGGCATTCACATTTTATCATATGGTCAGTCATTGTTTATTCATTGGGAACTGGTCCAGGAACTCCCCTGGCTACCAAAATCTATAGACACACAAGTACCTTATATAAAAAGGTACACTTTTGCATATAATCTACCTACATCCTTTCCATACCTTAAATCATTTCTAGATTACTTATAATACCAAGTACAAGGTAAATGCAATGTAAATAGTTGTTATACTATATTGTTTAGGGACTAATAACCAAAATAAGTCTGTAAATGTTCAGTAGAGTTGCACATATCCATTTTTAAAAAATATTTTCAATCAGTGGTTGGTTAAATTCACAAATGTGTAGCCTGTGGATATGGAGGACAAATTATACTTGCTTTATCCCACTTGTGTTTATCCATTCACTCCTCTATCTGTTCATCAATCCATCCTATTTTTAAGGCATTTCAACATAAATTGAAGGCAATAGTGTACTTAATCCTAAATATGATGGCATGGCACACCTATCCTTAGTTAGACTACAATATTTGTTTGAAGTTTTTAATATATAAAATTTACATACAGGGAAATATACAAATCTTATGTGTGCATTTGCTAATTTTGACAAATCAATACTCGTGTGTAACCCTAATCTCTATTAAGGTACAGAATATAACCATCACCTCAGAAAGTTCCCTCCTGCTCCTTCCCAGTCAATCCCTGTCCCCACCCCACCCTATCCCAAAGGCAACCACTGTTCTGATCTTTCTCCATAATAGTTCAGTTCTGCCTTTCCTAGAACTTTTCATAAAGGGAGTGATATAATGTGTAGCCTTTGGGGTCTGGCTTCTTTCACTTACCACAATGCTTTTGGGGTTCATCCTCAATAGCAGAAATCAAACATGACCTGAATATTACAATTTTAATAAAGTCTTTTTTCCTTTCTTAAAATGTGTCTGCATTTTTGGCACCCTCCGTATTTTCATTTTTCTTGGGAAATTGTCTCGCTTTTTGAACTTGGTAAAAACGTGCCACTCTAGGGCCCACAAGGAGCACCCGGATCTCCCGGAGCTGAAGGACCCATGGGACCACCAGGATCACAAGTAAGACCAACTTAAGTCTAGTATGTGATAATAGTATTCACACGACTGTTTTCTCTACCAAGCCATGGATTAAATGTAAGCCTATGTAATTTAGGCCTTCCTAGCAGAGAAGAGTAATCTCTATTCTTGGGAGAATTGAAGTAAAGCATGCTCTTGCTAGGAGATATTGGTTGTCTTTATTTATCAGACTCTTTCTTACCATCCAATCTGTATCTCCAAAGCCTCCTGGTTTAGCTCAACCTAAACTAATGACAGTTACCTGACCTAACTATTGCCACCTTCCACTTCCTTACCCATGACAGACATTGCTAATTAGTCATACCACCACCACCATCACTCACCCTGAACACTGAGGAAGCTTCAAAATCCTTCTCAATACTGCACCTTGGACAGTTCTACTTACCTATCTTTCTGATACCAAACCCTATTTACCATCACTGGTATAGGAAGCACATAGCCAATCATCTCTATGGTTCTGGGAGAACCGTTTCCCCAGATTGTTCTCTCCAGTGCATGAAATCCCACCACTCATAACTTTGTCTTATCTTAGCTTTACCAAAGGTCATCATTTTAAAAATCTCTGGTCTACTGGGAGAAAATGACACATGACATCTTTACTACCTTAGCATGATGTGTTTACCAGGTCAATTTGGGAGATTTCAAAGGAGATAAAAGGGAACCATGAGAGAGGCAGCTAGAACCTGCTCTACCAAAACCAGCCTACACTAAGTGGGGAGAGGGCCTTATGCCCAGTAACTCTCAACATGACCATGTTCTTTTTGACTGATGCTAATAAGTATTAAAATTCTTTTTTTTTATTTTTAAATCTAGGGTCCTCCAGGCCCTCCTGGTATCCCTGGGCCTGATGTAAGTGTACTTGGGGCATTTTGTTTCCTTACCCCTCAGTACTTGGGTTTCCCCAGTGAGATCCTGGTTTGGTTAACCTTACTTTCTGGTAAAAAAACAATTCCAATCGAAGTTTTTGGAACTTGCTTAGTAATTGATTTTGTTTTTTCCTCCCTATACCCCTGTGCCCCAGGGTAACATGGGATTAGGTTTCCAAGGAGAAAAAGGAGTCAAGGTAAATAGATTTGGGAAAATATAATCTTCATTCCCTATGCTCTGAAAAATGTCTGTGGTTACACATGTGTGCCTGCTTGTGTATGTAGATTTGGCTCTTCACCTTGGGAAATGAACACTTCCCAGCCCACATAGATCCTCAGGTGGGATCCCTTGAGGGCTGCACATGTGCATGCCACACATAGGCTTCTGCAGTTCTTTCTCCTTCAAAAGACTGTCATTTCTATGCAGCGTATCTATGAAGTATGTATGTCCTACAAACATACTCTCTTGAAATATATTCTCTCTTCCTTCCATCTGGATATTTCTCTGGTGTATAATGTGTTCTATTACCTTTTCTTTCCTTTTCTCTGCTTTCCTATTCCCTTCATCCTTCCTCCTCTCCCACCTCTTCTTACTCTCCATTTGGTTCCTTTGTCTCTCTTTCTTAACCTCTCTTTCACCATTTTCTTTTATTTCCAACTTCACTTCATTTCCTACTGTAAAAATTGCATGGTGACTTGGGAGCCTCAAGCAACGCTGAGAGCTCATCCTGACCCCCCCTTCCTGCCTGTCTCTTATGGATTTCACTGCCTTCTGAAGGAGCAACTCAAGCCTCCAACATTTCAACACAGACTTCACTGCTTCTGCTTGTGCTCTTGGCACAGACTGGCTCACTTAATAGTCTGATCATTGTTGACATGAGGTAGTCATTTGCCTCACTTAAATCCCATTTTTAGTTCTCTTCTAAACACCCTTCCCTGGATGACCATGGCATCTACTTTTCTTAACATTCCCTTTGATCTAACAGGGAGATGTTGGCCTTCCTGGCCCAGCTGGACCTCCACCATCTACTGGGGAGCTGGAATTCATGGGATTTCCTAAAGGAAAGAAAGGATCCAAGGTAGTGAACATTTAAGAACAGGACAAATTGATGTCTTTTTCTACTGATACCATAATTCAACTGTAATAACCAGACAATGTTGGAAGAATGGAGGGTTCTGGGTAATGGATTTTTGTTTAAAAGCAGAGGTAAAAGCCTTCTATGATTTGTCCTTTGTGAAAAGCTTTTTCTAAAAAGCCTGAGTCTGGTTTTTGTCATGTAGCTATGAGGTGTGCCCGGGTTTCTGAGTATTTCTTTAAGTGCTATTTTCTCTGTATCATTGTTGCAGATTCAATTTTTGATATGCTCAATAACTTAAAGCAAACAATGAATAGTTACTTTTCCTCCTCACTCCCAACCCAATACTTATGTTGTCCCCAAAGCACTGTGGTAGAATACAGAGTAAAATGGTTGCTTTGAGCTATCTTTTTATTTTTTTATTTTATTTTTTATTTTTGAGACACAGTCTCACTACGTCACCCTTGGTAGAATGCCATGGCATCTCAGCTCACAGCAACCTCAAACTCCTGGGCTTAAGTGATTCTCTTGCCTCAGCCTCCCAAGTAGCTGGGACTATAGGCACTCGCCACAACTTCTGGCTATTTTTTGGTTGTAGTTGTCTTTGTTTGTCAGGCCCAGGCTGAGTTAGAACCCACCAGCTCTGGTGTATGTGGCTGACACCCTAGGCACTGAGCCATTGAGCTATCTTTTTAAAGAAGTTATTTGCTCTCAAAGCATGACCCTGAAAATAGGATATACTGTTTGTCACCAAGTGTCAGTAAATAGATGCCCTAATTCACCTGGTCTTAACTACCAAGGCTTAAGCTGTAGACCCGCTTCATTGAGATAGTTTATCTGTATTTTTATGCAGGCGAGTATATACAATGTACATGGTTATATTTGAATGGATTTATGTTATTAAAGCCTACAGATATCTGTCAATAACTTGTTTTACCTTCTTTCCTGGAGTTCCTTTAAGTTTCCTGATTCTGATTCCATGGCCAAGGGTCCCAGGCAGGAGAATGTGTTCAGTCTTATTTCTCTAAATTTGTCTTTAAGGAAGCATCAGCTTCGGGCCACTTCAGGTTTGCATGAAGTAATGGTTTATTTGAAAACATTCTATGAGCATATGAGAGATTGCCTACCTCCCTAATCATTTCCAAACTTTAGAGAGTCCTTCCATGGCATGGATAGACGAATTAGCATATCAGGGGAAGATACATTAAAATGTTATATGTCCCTATCTAAACTGTAATTATTCCTTTTTCCAAAACCATTGATTCCTTTGCTGCCTATAATTTGCCATAGGAAATCACACTGAACATCATCTTCTACTGGAAAGAAAACAGATAATCATCCTTTCTGTCTCCCAATTAGCCTGAGCTTTTCAAAAGCTTTTTTAGACAGTCATGGACCATGGTCCTCTCCACATAGCAAAGAGCTCCAAGAACTAAGGCATCCTGGTTATAACCACTAGAATCAGAGCCTGAGGAATCTGTACCACTTGGCAGCACCCTGTTTGATACCTCCTTGGTTCCCCACTCCTCAGTCCAAGTACTTTCATGGAGCCATCCTTCTTTGTGTTCACTGCTTCCTGCTGCTACTCACTAACCTTTGGTTCATTTTCCAGGGGGAGCTAGGGCCTCCAGGGTTCCCAGGTGTAAGTGGGCAGCCAGGCTTCCCGGTAAGTCTCTCTCTTTTGGTCAACATATATTCAGGGGTCTGATGGGACAAAAGCTGTAGCAATAGAAGGCTAACAGAAAGGCCTCTTCCTATAGTGTAGAGAATGTCACCAGCATCATTACAGAAGGCATTTAAAGAAATGTTGTTTCTCTAAGCCACGGTGACATTAGTCTGGTTCTCCATTAGGCTATATATCTCAGGCATTATTAGCTCAAACTCTACAGTGACAAAAGACCTAAGCTTGACTTCTAGCTATGTCACCTACACCAGTTTCTTAACTTTTCTGAGCTTTGGTTCCCTGACCTTCAAAAAGACATAATGTTGGGGTGGCTCTAAGGATTAAATGAGATAATATACATCATAAGGGCTTACTACATGCCTGGCACTTATCAATTGCTCAGTAAATAGTACCTAATTTAGTAATTTTATCTCTACTTTTATATCTGCCTTTCTAGCTTAAATTCTTTCACTCAAGCTTTTGAGTGCCACTGTGTACCAGGAATTCTGCTGGACTTAATGGCTCCAACAGTATAAGTCAAAGTCCCTGTCCTTGAGATCACATTCTAATGGGAGAGTGAGAGAGGACACAGACAATAAACAAATAGATACATGCATCACTAACAAGTTCATGTATTGGTGATACATAGAAGATGAAAGAAGGGTAAAGTGTTGGAGTATGGATAGAGAACAGGGTAGGCTACTTGGGACAGTGCAGTCAAGAAGGAGGCCTGTCTAAGGAAACTATATGTGAGCGAGGCATGCACATTATGAGGGAGCAAGCCATGTGAAGTTCAGAAAGAAAGTTTCAGGTTGAGGGAACCGTAATTATGAACACCATAAGCTTAAGAAAAGCTCAGTACTTTAGAAGAACAGTAAGAAGTTGAATCAGTGGAGCAGAGTGAGCAAGGCCAGAAAATAAGCAGAGAAGCAGGAGCCAGATCATGGCCACTTTTATAGATCAAATGGGACTTTTATTTTAAACATAATAGGAAGCCATTAGAAGGCTCTGACTTGGATTTTTAAGATCCAAGAGGGAGATAAGGAGAGAGAGGAAGTGGGGCATGTCAAACAGCAAACAGAGGGGCTGTTGCAACAGTCTAGGCAAAAGACGGTGGTAGTGGCATAGACTATGCTGATAGCAATGGAAATGGATACAAATGGATGAGAGTAAAAGAATTTTCAACCTTTTAAAAAATAACCAGCAAAATATTTAACATTAGCAAACAAAATCTAGCAATATATTAAAAGGATTATGCATCACAAGCAAATGAGATTTTTCCCAGTAATGCAAGCATAGCTTAAAACCCCCAAATCTATTGCTGTACTACACCACATAAAAGAACAAAAACCACATGATCACTCCCCATAGATGTAGAAAAACATATTTCACAAAATCCAACACATTTTATGATATACATGTTCAATGAACTAGGAATAGAAGGATACTACTCAACAGATTGAATTTCTGCTTCTGCATTGGATCTTGGAAGCTTCGAAACACCTCACCTCCATATAACAAAAAGAATAAAACTAGATAATAATCATGAGTTTCCTTGTACATAGAAAATACTTGAAGTTGCAAGGAAACCAATTAAACTGTGTTACAAAAAAAAAAAAAAAAAAAGGACAATCCTCCCCCAGAAAGTATGAAACAATATGGAACATTTTACATTCATCAGACTATGGGAGAAGTCTGTGACCCCTACATAAGGGGATACTGTAAGAGATATTAAAGGAAGCTCTTTAAACCTGAAAAGTATGGCACAGAATAGAAACCTAGATCTGGGGCAGAGGCAAGATGGCAGACTGCAGCCAGCTTTCCACAGAGGCTCGCATCCAGAAGGAGAGTTAAAGGACAGAAGTTTAGCAAGTAAGCCAATGGTTTGGAGCAGAGCCAAGAAAGAAGGTTGAAGAACACACATCAACCTTGCTGAGGTGAGCTATGACCCCAAAGATACAAACAAAGGGTACTAAATCCATCACCAGGCAGACCGGAGTCCCCTCCCCCATGAGAAGGGCTCGCAGTAAACTTCATACAAACAAGTGAGCAGAGTTCCAACATCCTCCCATTCCATCCCACGGGAGAGACCCTCTAAAAACCAGACCTCCTACCCATACTAGGGTGCCATGGCACTCTCCTGCCAGGCATAACACGGTATAAAACTGTATATATTATCTACCTGCAACTCTAATTTCCCAGCATTCCCTTCCACTCTCACCCCAAGGTATGGAAGCCTGTCCCTCATGGAGTCCAGATTCGTGGGCATTTTCTCAAGAGGTGTGGACAGGGGAAAGGCCCTTGCTGGGCTTTGCTGATTCTCTGGGATGGGAGTGAGGAGAGGACAATCAGCTGAGAGGGAACCATGCAGGAGCAGTGGTGATGCCCCCAGGCTCAGAAAAGCAGCAGCTGCAGGAACAATGAGGCTCACACCCCTGGGGCTATCCCGGACAGACACACCCTGTCTCTCTGGGCAACCAGAGGAAGCCAGGCACTTTCTCCGGTGGCAGCCACTGGCAGACAGATCTGGGATGTAAGTAAAGTCAGTGCAGGGACTAGAATACATGCGCGCAGAGCTGGCATACTCCCAGGGTGGGGCTGACCCCAAAGGACTGCTTAACTCCCAGGGCAGGGCTGAGCCAGAGGACTGCTTTACTGAGGCTATGAGAAGCCTGGCCCTCAGGGGATCATAGCTGAGACAATGGCAGGCAGGCAGAGGCTGGAACTGACAGCTCAGGGAGGGCTCTAATTGCTTGCCAACTGCCTGGAACTGAGTCATGGTTTCTGTCACCTTAGGCAGCATCTGATAGTGGAACAGAAACAAACTCTGTGAAGTTGTGCTGTTCTGCCAGCAACATCAATCAGGGGCGGAGCTGGAACTGAGTGAACCGTCCCAGCCTCCATTAAGCACCTGAGGTTGTCAGGCCTCACCTCCCACTGCTGGATAGTGGCTGAGACCAGAGACCTGGTTGAGGAGACATAGATCTCTCTCTGACTCGGGCAGGCATAAACCCCTGAGGCATCTGCTCATTGGGGGGAACTGGGTCACAGCCCTGTGGGGTTATCAGTGACTGGGTGTGACACAGGTGCAAGGTGGGGAAGGAGGTATCAACCTTCCCAGACTAATTTATTTGCTGGGTTGGTCCTTCTGACCTCACAGAGCTCCAGAGCCAGTCATACCTGAGCTGCCAGCAAACCCCTGCTATCTAGTTGTCAGAGACCTCTTGAACTCCCCCACCTGAGACCAGTGCTGACTGGATCAATTGATTTGGACTTGAACTGGGCCAATCACCTGAGGACTATCCAAAGTGGTACACTGGGTGTGTGGTTGTGGGAAGGTGTGATTTTCCTTTGTTGCCTGTGGGGAGCGGGGTGGCTTAATTTCTGGTATTTCTCCATAGCTGAGACTTCAAACCAGAGTGACTGATTTACTAGGGTAGAAAAGAGACCAGCTGAAAATAAGACAGAGTGACTTAGCCCCACCAAACCAAGGAGGGCCCCAGTTTCTCAGGCCATAGCACTGTACGGGTCCTTGGCAAAGCTCTAGGAGAAAAGGAACAAACACCAGTCCTAGCCTTTGGGCAAAGGGCTAGCTAATCACTACTCCTGGAGCCCCCCACCCAACTTCTCCTTATCTGCTTATCTAGCCAAATGGTGTAAATGAATTCGGCATGGGGTGGAATCAGTGGGAAAACTCCGGTAACATGAATAAACACAGTAGCTCAACCCCCCCCCCCAAGGAAGGATACGGCAGATGCAACTGAAGATCCCATCCATAAACAGAGGGCTGAGATGTCAGGAATCGAGTTCAGAGTCTAGATAGCAAATATGATAAAAAGAATGGAGGAAAGGAAGGAATCAGAATTTCAAGGAATCATTCTAAAGATGTCTCAAGAATTCAATGATTTCAAAGATAAAATGACCAAAGATTTTGACACATTGAGGCCAGAGTTTGCAGCCCACAAAGATCTGAAAAATACAGTAGAATCCCTCAGTAACAGAATGGAGCAGGCAGAAGAGAGGATCTCTAACATTGAAGACAAAGCTTTTGAACTCACCCAAGCACTCAAGGATGAAGAGAAATGGAGAGCAAAAATGGATCACTCTCTCAGAGAGCTCTGGGATAATGTGAAGAAAACTAATATTTGTCTTGTAGGAATCCGTGAAGGCAATGAAGTTGCTTCACAAAGCACAGAGGCTCTTCTTCATGAAATTATGAAAGAGAACTTTCCAGATATGCCAAAAGATTCTGAAATTTAGATAGCAGACAGTTTCAGAACCCTAGCACTACTCAACCTGAACAAGACATCCCCCAGGCACATCATAATTAACTTCACTAAAGTTAATATGAAAGAGAAAATTCTGAAACCAGCTAGGTGTAAGAAAACCATAACCTACAAGGGGAAGAATATTAGAATGACTGCAGATCTCTCTGCTGAAAACTTTCAGGCTAAGAGGGTGGTCATCTACTTTTAATCTCCTAAAACAAAACAACTTTCAACCCAGGATCCTGCATGCAGCTAAACTGAGTTTCATCTATGATGGAGAAATTAAATACTTTAATGACGTTCACATGTTGAAGAAATTTTCCATATCTAAACCAGCTCTCCAAAATATTCTCAGACCTATCCTCCATAATGACCACTGTAATCCTACACCACAAAAGTAAAATCACTCATAAAATTTTGCAAATTCCAATTTCCATAGTGGTGAAAGGATTAAAAATGACCAGACCACTGGACTTTCAAAAAATTCAATACCCAAATTTTTATCGGGCTTATCTATATTTTCAATTAATGTGAATGGCTTAAATTATCCCCTAAAGAGGCACCCGTTGGCTGACTGGATACAAAAACTCAGGCCAGATATCTGCTGCATACAAGAATCTCATCTCACCTTAAAAGATAAATAGACACTCAGGGTGAAGAGATGGTCATCTTATTCCAGGAAAATGGAAAGCACAAAAAAGCAGGTGTTGCAATTTTATTCACAGATACAACAGG